GATGGTCCCTGGTGTAAAATTCAGAAAGGAAATTAACCTTCTTATGTGTTTTCCATTTCCTCCAAAGTTTGAGAGTAGAATTGTTGGTACAGCTATAATGCTTTAATTACTGGTAATTTCTCAAAATAGTGTTTGATGTGACTGCAAATAATTTTGGAAACCTTGTGATTTTACATTTCTACAGAAATGGAGAGTATTCTGGGGATATATTACACTATGCTACCAGAKTAATTTATAGGAGGAGGTATAATTTTTTGTAAGGGTGAATGGTGAGACAGGAAGAACAGATTGTTTATATAGTAAGTCAACTACAGAAAACACAGAAACACAAAAGAAGCAGCCATTTAAGCAAAGACCACCATGCTGAACAACAAATATYCACACTGGCTGTTCTTTGAAGTCAGACACTTAATGGCTTTTATGTCAGCAGAAATCAAAGRGAAAATGGAAGCAGCCAGCTTGGAAGGTTAAATTGCACATTGGTCATGGCATAGTCTGGTATAAACTCCAAATGAACAMAAATGCAGAAAAGTTTGCCAGCTTTGTTTTGGTTTGTTTTTTTTTTAGTGAAACAGGCTTGCTGAGGGACTGCATGAGCAGAGTTCTCAACAAGAGCAGGCTAAAATTTCACTCTTTCCTTTCTGCGTAAGGTCAGAAAATGGATCCAYAGAGCTGAAGGGTCAGGAACTGCTCCCAGGCAATGTGGAACCCTGRGAGCAAAGGAGGTTTTGTTAAAGCTCAGAATTGCACAGCAGATTTACAATTGTATCAAAAGACATAACATTTCACATTCTAAATTATTTTAATCATTTGAAACAATTACTCTTGTTCCACTCAGAGAAACTGTTTTCATATGCTTCATTCCTGCATGAAACAGATCTGGAAATAAAAACTGGTTTCTTTCAGCAATGCATTTATATGGCTAATTTGCCTGTCTGTTTTGATGGCAATAAAATTCTGTGCTGTAAGCATTCAGTTATGAAAAAAAAACCCCATAGTATGCAGGTAGTATAAGGTGGGTAGTTAAAACTTGCTTTAGTTTTTCCCAAGCTATCATAAAAAATCACTAATGCAGAAAAATTAGTGTGTAATGGTAACCAGAAAAGRTTTTGTAAATGCATGTGGGTATTGATGCACACGTGTGTGACTGCAAGCATTCAGAACTTGATAATGTTTTAAAATATATCTTGCTTTTGAAAAGAGCCCAAACAATTCTTCTGTGCCAGAATTAAGGTATCAGTTTCAATATTTGTGTTGAATCACAGATCCATTTGTCAGCTCAGTAGTTATTGCCAAGAGAATCATCACAGGGCCCACTTTTCTGGACACAAAGCATCAATCAGCCTGAAAGTGTTAAATAACATCTGGCAGTGACCTGCACTGTGTAAACCATATTTTTGAAATTAGCTTAGCGTGTTTTGTCTAAACAAACCAAGAAATTAAGATGCAGAGGAAAGAAAAGCATTCCAGCAGCAGATAAAAATAATTGCTGTGGTACTATCGGGAGTCACCGAGTAATTGCAGAAGTGTGATTGAGTGGAGGCAGCAAGTATTTTGTATTTTAACTGTAAAACAGGACACCAGAAAAGAAAACAGAAGGTCTTTAATATGGCACTATCATTAAAAAAGGTTCGGTTAAGCCAGTAAATTGTACACAGAGAAGTGCTATGTTTGTTAGAATGTGTATGGAGGGAGCTGAGAATAATTAAGACTTAGAATAGGAGTTTTTGGCTCTGGTTCTGCACTGTTTCAAGGCCTCAACTGTTCTTGAATCCTTAATAAGTTAAGGAATGAGTAGAGCAGAGGAGAGAGCAGGCAGAATCTGTTGGAGCAGCTTGCCCACGCCAGTTTGCCAAAATCTAAATAGCCCTTTGAAAAAAAGGCTTATTTTTTGCTGATGACATCATTCCTGCCACTGTCAAAGTGTGACAAGTCTTGGCTTGCCTAAAGGAGAAGAAAAAAAACCTTTCTAAAATTGACACTGCGCAGATTTAAAACATATACAAGGACTACTATAAATGTGAGATGTTTATACTCTCTTTCCATGCAACCAATTTTCATTCACAGATAGTTGGGTGTTTTTTTTTGTCAAGCATTTTGGCCTTGTAAGTCGATGCCTTTAAAATATCCAAGTTGTTCCTTGTGATCTTGTCATGGCTGCCTTAGCTTAGGCATAGGACTGTTCTGATAGCAGTGCCCACAACCTGCCTTTCCTCTATTGTAGTTAATTTTAAGGTCACTGGAAACATCTGTATAAAGTCAGCAAAGCCACAGGTATTTTTGAAGGTGATGTTTACTCACAGTTTCCATAAAACCATATTAATCTTATCTCTTTGGGTTTTTTTTTTTTCTTCTGATTTCTTATTCCTTCTGATCTGAAGAAACTCTATGAAGAAGATGCTCTATGAATGTKTTCTTTTCCATGCTCATATTCTTTTCCATTTTCAGCATCATCCCCAGCTGTGAATTGTACAATGAATAATTAATGTTGAATGGCGACCTTGAACCTCATAAAGCTGATTAGTAAGACAATGCATCTGGGAGAACAACTTTAAGACTGCACTTGTAAAAGAATATCAAAACAGCTTAACACAGTAGGGAAAAGCCCCCTGGAGCCCTTTTAAAACCAATTGCCTACAACCACTTCTAAAAAGAACAACTCCATAGTGGGGGGGAAAAAAAGCATGTGTAAAAATCTGATGAAGTTCAGAAAATAAACCAGCCTTTATTCTTGATTGTGACAGAGATGTTTGCAGTTAAACACTGCATAACATTATGGGAGGTGCAGTCAGCCAGAAGAGAGCATTTTTGTCTGTTCTAGTTCAGATTGTAACAGCRCAGTTGTTTTCTACCTCACTGGATCCCAAACTCATTCATGAAAAAGGACAGTTCAGGCCTTCCCTGATATTTCAAAGCAGAAAATATTTGCCCTGGTTCCTTGTTGCAGAGGCAATCTGCTTGTAAACCCGGGAGATTGTTATTTTTGTGTGCTGGCAAAGCTAAGGATGATGATGGAGATTTCAGAAAGAGTTAACGCYTTTGTTTTTCCTGAACATGTGTAATTTTGAGAAATGGATTTTCAGTTTAATTTGCACGTTGGATAAATGGCATTTGCCATTTGTTAGTGAGCAGACAGGGAACAGTGGGTTTATTATGGAAACGTGGCATGGTCCTGTTGTGCCTTACAACAGGACAGCAGCCTTAAAACAGGCAAATCTCTTAATTTCTCTTTTCTAACCCATTTTATAAGCCCTAAATCTGGAATACCTAATTCATGTATTAACTTTGTTTTACTTCACAGCTCATTAAATCTGTTAATACTTAAAAGAATTTAGCAGTATCTTTTTGTTAAATTATTTGATCTAGSTCAAGAACTAAATTTCAGTTAACTAAGAACAGAATATTCAGATTTTTTTTTTTTTCTTCCACTTGTGGTTCCCAACACTTTAGTGGATTTTATTCCAATTCTGGATGATTTCAAAACAAAAATAGCTCAATATTTCATGATATGGAAAACATCTGCTGCTCAGCCTCAGCCTGTAATTATTCAGCACTCCTGTCTTAGAAAACTGAATAAAAAGTCCCTTTGGGGCAACCAAAAGTATGCACAGATTCGGGCTGAATTTGGCRAGTAGTTTGTCTGAGATCAGGACTGATTCCGTGGCATCAGTTAACATTTGTAATATTAATTTCTCTATTTTAAAAATCGCTGACAAAATAGTTAATCCRAAAATGATGAAAAATGTAGATTTAGATGAATGTAATTCAATCTACTTTTACACCAGAGTGTATAACAYAGTGTAGTGCTCAATCACTTTCAGCTACGCTTCTTTATTTTTACTGAATTGCTCTCATTATAGAGGTAAAAGCAGGTCAAGTTCTCTAAAACCATATGAGGTCAACACTCAGATCTAACCTGGTTTAAAAATCTTGCTACAATTTGAAAACATGCTGGGTAATTTTATCAGTATAGGCAAACTTCCGGGGGTTCAGTTTAGTGTGCTTCTTAATCACATACAGCTACACTTCATCAAATAACAGTTTGCTGAAGTGTGGATGGAGTGGATGTTTTTGGTGTGAGTTTGTTTTCTACAAGTAGATTAAAATAAAATACTTTTAATCCTAATCAAATACAAAGCACAAAWTATTAGGCACAAATTGTTTTTCTGTTTCTGTAGATGCAATTTCATAGATACTTTTAAGGCTCTTAGTAAAGCTAACAACTGCCTGGAAGCAGCAAAGTGCTGGTGGTGGAGCTAAAGAGAGCAAAGGTTCTGGGCTGCTGGAGAGGCTGCAGTAGTTAAATCATAAAATTCATAAAATCATAAAATTCTTCATCAGTTCCCAGATGAAGATTATAAATTATTCTTGTGCGGTGATACTGTACAACACTGAGAAGAACTGTGCAGTATAAAACAAGAATAGAAAAAAATGTTTAAAYGATGTGAACTCATTACAAAATTTGTGTAACTTAAAACTGAACTAAAAGATGCCATGCTGGGTGTTTTTTTTTTCCTGTCCCAGCAATATAATTTCTCTTACAAATTTTATTTTGACTATAATTTCCTTAACAACAATATTAGAGAAAAAACCATATCCATTCTGACTGCATGGAAATTGCCTCTTTTGTTCTCTTACCTTTCATGTGTTCAGCTGTCATTTCCAGTTAACTCTACTATCCTTCAAAATAGAATTCTAMAATTTTGGTTTAATTAATGGGAAAACATTCACTTGTTTACAGTTTTATAGAATAACTGCAAAACAGTGACTCGAAGACTTTGTCATGGAGCTACAGRAGGAGCTCAGATACAGTGGGGATGATTTGCCAAGTTGATGTATTATGTACTGATAAATGCAGAGATAAAAATGCTCCTCTTTGCTGAGAGGTAATGAAATGGACTTTGAGATTAATATCATTCTGACAAGGGAAATATTCAATGCATTTCTCTGCTGAGAGTCCCAGGCTTCCCTCTCAGCAATGCAAAGTGCAGAGGTGACAGAGAAGTATCCAGGCAATGGGAGGTACTGAAACTACAGAGCAGCTTTTGTACTCCAAATAAAAATAAAAGTGGGTTCTTTTCACGGCCCAGCCTGATATATATGCTGGCAAAATAAATCAAGTTCTGGCCAGCTACAGATAGTTGGAATGCTTTCCAGAGAACTCCATTTACCGGGAGTCCTGTAACCATCCAGACTGTCAAAAAAGGGGTTTGCTATGAAGCTGCATGTGACGTGGGAAGCAAATTCATTTGTGGTTTTATTGACAGAGGTTATCCAGCACAATACCGTGCTGTATTATTGCGAAAATTACTGTGCTAAGTGAAAAACGTTGGAAGAGATTGGCCAGGCGTGTCTTGTGAGTGTGAATGAACTGAACATGTGCCAGCCACGGGTAATGGGAATGTGCCACTTAACAAATTATYCTATTTTTAGCAGCCTAACCTTCTTCATGTGCTTGCAGTGAGGAGCTGTGTGCTCTGGTGTCCGTGCCGAGGGAAGGAGCCGTGCTGTGGAATTTGCCCGTGTGTGGGGTATTTAGACAGCAGCACACTTACCAAGGGCTTGTAAAACTGGACGCCTGCCGGGGGAGCCTCGGGCCTCCTGGTTTACTTACTAAGCCCATGTTTCAATGGAGAAGCAAATTTGATTTTTCTCCTCCCTCCCTCCCTTCTTCTTTCTCTTTTCTCTCCTCCCCCAGCCCTCCTTTGCTAAAGAGGCATCAGTGACTGGTGAGAAGAACTGACCAACTTGACCTCTTCTCCCACTGGTGGGCATGAGAATAATACAGCAGGAGGTCAGAGGTCAGCTTTTGAATACTCTTAGGAGCTAATTTATTACAAGGAGGGAGTTTCACATTGGCTGAATTATTTTCTTGAAGAGAAGACCACACTTGAGTTTGTTTATGCCTTGTGTTGGTCGGGAGTTCTCTTTTGGAGCCTTTTCTATGCACCTGTGCAGAGCACAATGCCGGCCCTTTTCTGCGGCCGACAGCCAGAGGGAGAACGGCCGGCCCGGAGCACAACCTGCACTTTCTGTCATTGCACAAAGAGTCCCGAGGGGCTGCCCATTGTCATTCCCTCTCCCACCCCTCTGTGCCCCTACCCTGCTGCTGGATGGGTTTTGGCTGGTGCAACAGGGGAAGCTGGGATGGGGGAGGAGGGAAGGATGRAGAGCGCGTTGGCACAGACATCTTGCTGAGAAATAAAGGCACGGATCCTTCAGGAAAAAGGATCTGCCTTACTTGGAAATCAGTGCCAGTAAGAGCTGCTGTTCTCTCTGCCTCCTTTTGCTGTTGGGGTACAAGAAAATGACATCTGCTTGCATTTCTAGTTGCCTTAGCTGCCTAGAAYGCTGGAATACCTTATGACTTATGARTTTGGAAATTATTTGCCCGAATTTAAGTGTCCTGGTTACACTTAATCTCTCTGCTGCTCAGCTACAGCCCAGCAACCTCGTCTCTGTCATCCCTCCTGGTTTTATACAGYGTCTGGTGATATCTCAAACATCACTCACCCTCAGACAGGGCAGCTGTGGCTGCAAATTCTATTGAGACTCCCATTACCCAGAAAATCTTGACCTATTGCAGTGATTTTCCTTTTTACAAAACAACCTCCAGCCTTTGTTTGCGGTTTTAAGAAGGTCTGTTGTGTGTTAGGAGGTGCTGTACATTCAGCTCTTAGTGCAGTGAAATCTGTATCTTTGCCTGATTTAAATTTGGCCAGGTTGTTGGGGAAAAACTCTGAAGCCAAATTAATGCAAACAAAGCAACTTTCTTTTTAGCATAGAGGGATTAGGAGGGTGCACCTTCTCAGCACTGGAACTTGGGTTTATCGAGGGAGTTTTACATATTCCACATTTTCAAGCACCAGGACTGGGTAAAGCTAAAGCTTTAAATGTTCTCATTAGCTTTGTCTGAGCAGGTGAGAGGTTGGAGCCACTCTGGGGAGCTTGAAAAGGAACTATGTAGTTCCCAGAGCTGAAGTCAAATTTAAGGAAAACAGACTTTCTGCCTACAAGATTTMTCCCTGCCTCTGCACTTGGTGTTTTATCATAAATATCAAGGCAATTTGCCTGTTCCAATTTTGGAGGGAGATTTACAGCCATTTAGCAGATTCTGCTGGCAAACATCTATAAATTATGTGATGAAATTTAGCTCATCTCCACACAGACACGAGACAGGGCTCTCTCCTGGACCCTCCCAAGGCTGTCACAGGAGAGCAGCAGCTCCATGGTCCATCAAGGTGAGAACACAGACTGAGGGGGTCACAGCCTGGGGTTTGACACTCAGGATGGGGTGCAGACTGCTGGGTTCAGCCTCTGGGGAGTTTTTTTAATATCACCTGAGCACGACTGGATTGCACACCGTGATGGGTGCTGTATTTAACTGTGAAAAGGMTCGGTGTAGGCAGAGCATTATCACTGCAGAGCTGTGATGGTAAAACCACAGACCACAGCGATGAGGSTGAAGGGAAGAGAAAAACCAAACCAGACATTTATCCATGCTCTTTGAGCATGTGGAGTCAGTGCTGAGTCCCCAGAGCTCAGAAAACAAACCCGTCCTGGCAGAGGGGTGGACCCTGCGGCAGGCTGGGGACAGGACAAGGCAAATATTGCCACTTCCACCAGAGCATCTGAGCAGCATCCCCAGGCAAGGGCTTTCCCTGTGGCTGCACTGCCCTGTGGARCACGAAAACATCTGAGAAATGATGCTGCTGTGCTCAGAGAGTTTCAGCTGCTTCCTCAGAGAGATGTCCAACAAGGACCTTTGAGTTTGATTCATTTTGGATCAGCAAGGGCGTATGTTCAAATGTGCTCCACGCTTCTCAGTTTCTGAGAGGTACAAAGAGCAGGCTCAGTAAACCCAAAAGTTTGCACTTTATGTMAGTGTTTGATATATAAAAGCTCTAGTTCTATACAGAATTAAAACTGGTATTTAATTTAATTAACTACCCATCAAATAATTACATGCACAGTCTCATGAGCGTACTTAACATTTCACTTACTCACATGTAACAGCTCTCTGCCTTGTTCCCTCCTGGGAAGACTTTATTTCTTTTTCTACCCGTTCAAAATACAGGCACTTCAGCACCTTAGCTGAATTAAGTGGTAATGAATATTTAGGAAGGATAATAACTTAGTTTGGTTTTTTTTCTGTTTTCCTTTTTCTGTCCTTGCTGAGGGTCTGTATGGACAACTCACAGCCTTTTTCTCTTCTCTTTTCATTTACATTGTATTCCACTCAAGGAAATCTTGATTTCTAAGAATAAACTTAACAGTTTGTGACTGATAACTTTTTATTGTGTTCCAGCATTACGATATTTTGCTGAAACACTCCAGTAGACAGTAAKATTCTCCATGTCTGTTCTACTTTGAAAACTCACATTCTCTGTTTTGATTTATTATMCCTTACCTATTTTTAGGATAGGCARTCTACCAGATTGAAAACTGAGAACCGTGAAGGTCAAGAAAGATTTTTATGATGGCTAAAAGCTGTGTAAAAAGAGTGAACAATGGTTTTATAGTGGATCATCTACCCTGTATAACCAGAAAAGCTCTGATTTCCACTTATAACTGATATCCAGAACCTGATAATTAAATYATTCTTCCTGGAATTTGTTCCATCACAAAGAAATGATGTCACACCACCTTATTCTCAAGCTAAACATTCAATATTTGACAAACTTGGGAAAGGTAACTATTGATACATCTGTTTATGTTGTTTGGGGATTTTTAAAAATTCTTGCAAAGTCTGCTTTTTGTAAGTTTATTTAAAAAAACAGCTTATTGAGCAGGTTTTTGGTTCATTTACTAAATCTAAAACTTTTAGAAGAAAGGGCTCTACATGAGCAAACCCTTTGTACACATGCATGCAATCACCCACCTCATAAAAAAAATATAAATTTACCCTTTTCTAATGGAAAATGATGCATTTGTGCAATAAACAGTAAAGKGGAAAAGTTTCAGAACTGTATCTTCTCTAGAGAGCTGCTGGTTGCTTAGCTGGTGTGCTCCTGGGTTTTGTGCTGAAAATATCCCAGTTCTGGCAGGGCTGCAATGAAGGCTTTCCGTGGGTGAGGGCTGTTTGCAGATCTCCTGCTGAGCCTCTAAGACAGATATTGTGGGGTAATTTCTGGAGTTTTGCCAGTTGCAAACGGGGGGCCCCACCAAGCCTATTAAGGTAGGAATGAGGTTGGAATGCCACACTTTGCTACGCTCTGTTTTCCACTGTCCCTGCTCTGCTGACCACCAGAGGAAAAATAAATTAGGGAATTTTTTTTCTCACTGCAGTGTCTGCCATCCCTTATTACATGTTGTCATTTTTAAATAGTTCATCTGATTAAATGTGATTTTATTTATTTTCCTTAGAACAAAATAGAATAACAAATATTTTCTCATTGACCTCCCTTCTTGTCTCTGCAAGTAGCAGGACAAGATGACATACATCCACTTTATTTTGTTATGAAGCCATAAATCTTTATTGGCCTTTTATTGATGTTGCTTAGGGGGCTCAAAATGAAAACTCAGCTTTTACATACCATTTTAATGTTTTTAAGAATGTTGTCATTAAAAAGTCCTGTCAATCTTACTCATTTATGGTTCAGTAAAGTGTTGTATCTCAGTTCCAAGACCTCAGCTGCTCATTGTGAGACTGATTTTCTGTATGGTGGAAAGGACAGAAACAGAGTTGTTCCTTAAGATTGGGAAGGGCTGCTGACTGGCCATGGTACTTGCTGMAAATCAGGGATTTGGGAGTTTGGGTGTGGAGGTTTTCTAGAGAGCAGCTTTATTAAATCAATAACTTTATTGGTCTGAAGCAGACCCCTTGCAATATGGCACAAAGCGTGAGATGCAGAAGTTTGGAAAGGAATGTTTTGGGTGGGTTTTTTGGGGGGAGGGGGTGTGTTTGGGGTTTCTTTCTGCAGGTTGTTCATCTTGGAATAATTTAGCATTAAAGTTCTCTGTGTTGCACACAGATGTGGTTTAACACACAAACAGAATAGCCTATTGCTCT